GATTTATCCCATTTTAAAACCATTGGAACAAAATTTTCTGCCACAACAGGGCAGAATAAAATTTTATTCTGGTGGGTGGAACAGTGATTTTACTCTCCACAAAATGATATGCAAGTTTCAACAAGAGGCAATGGCCTTCTTTGGTGATGTGGCACATGCTCTTTGGTCCCACCTCAGTTTACCAGAGTTGACTTGTGCCCCTCTTAATAGTTCATCTCACCTCAGGAAGTAAAGTTTGAAGTGCCATAATTCATACAACCCACGTTCTCAGGTTTGCCACCTTGAGAACAAACAAAAATATCAGCAATGGAAATTATCCTTGAATATATTTATGATGAAACAAAGCAAACCTTTGACAAGATATTCTTCTTCTTTTATGCTACCATTGCCCTCCTTTCCTTACAAAGCTGTGCTTTCCCAACAATTTAGACAACCATATTGTAGGGGTTGAGCTCAAACAGCTTCTAATACTCACCAAATCTCAGGTTAATCTTTGCATTGTCGTTCTACTCCAAACTGCAGTAATCTCCCCTGATTGACAAAGACTCTTCAGTCAGTGCTTCCTTGCTTGAATGCACAAGGGATGACCCATACCCTCTCCTCAGCCATTGTGATAGCATCTGTGTCCTTGCTGCCCTTGAGTTCTCCTGGGTAGGACTTGAAACAATTAGCCCTTGATCCACACATGTCAAATCCCATATTCACTAGTATTTTGGAATATTGGATGAAATCTTGAGTAAGGGACATGGAGAACCTGTGTCCCAAATGAAGTTTCAGGAACAGACTTGCACTCATTCCCTGGGGCCTTCAGCACACGGAAGGATTTCCGATGCCCACATTCTCTCTTTTAAAAGTTCTCAGGAAGAGAAGGAAGGTGGCAGGTGCCCCTGGGATAGTAGGTCTCCTGCCAGGGTTTCAGGACACCTTCCCCCTTGCCTCAGCTCTTCCTTGTGCCACATGAGAAGTGTGACATTCCAGGTAAAATGAAACTGCAAAGTACCTTTAAAAAAAAAAAAATCAAAGGCTGGTATGTCAGCATTGGGCTCCAGAGAGAAGACTGTGCTTTTTCATTTACATAGGAAATTGAAATACAGGTTACAGAATCTTGAGTTTCATCTTCTGAAAAGATCATAGAGTGTGGTGCAAGGTCAGACTGGCATGAAATCAATTGTAATCCGCCAGCAAGCCATTCTAACCTCTTTAAGAGTTTCCTTTTATATTTTTCCTCTTTATAGAGAGAGCAAAGTACATTTAAAGAAAGTCTCATCAAATCAGAATGTCTTTCTAATATTATTTTTTTAATTGGTTGCTACTGTACTGTGACCTAAAGCCTCCTGGTATTTAACCCTCTGTGCAACTTTGACTAATGAACAAATTTTGTCTGCTGTAGCAGTCTTGCTAAGTGTCTTTTATAGGGTTTTAAAAAAATTACAGTGTATTATGAAAACCTCAGATCCCTCAACCTAATTGATTGGCTGTTGGTGATGCCATCTCTATAACTATAATGTTCCTTAAGTGCACAGACCTAACTATTTTTCTTATTTTTATATAGCAGTTCCATTTTATAATGACATTAAACCATTCTGAGTGATACATTTTTGGACAGTTATTGCACTTGGGTAGAAAGTGTCATCTGGCTTTTAGCCTTGTGCCTTACAACACCAACCGAGGTGTAAAATGATCCCCCAGAAAATGTACTAGGCTTTACCTCATTACTTAAAAATAAATCTTGGAGTCTGGTTCTGTTTCAGAAAAGATTTGGTGAGTTAAAACATTTGATTTATGGACATAATTAAAATATAAATGATGAGCTCTGGGCTACTCAATCAGCCATCTGGATTGTTCGATATTTTGACATACTTATATTGCAGTCAGGATCTTCTTCCTGGGAAAATTTAACATCCCTGAGTCCTAGAAGTGTCAGTGGAATCCCAAGGTTTCTGTTCCACCTGTTGAAAATACTTAAGTTCTTCTTTTGGGACAAAGGAAAGGGAACAGAATTTGTTTTTAAGTTTCCATCACCCAAGGACAGATGGTGGCACATAGACTTTCTCTTTGGTTCATAGGGTGTGTAGATAACTCAGCTTCCCAGGGTCAAGTAATATGCCCATAAATACTGCCTTTGTCAATGGAGGGGGTCATTTTCCTGTGTAATACAAGAAAGATTAATGTTTACCTTTTGAGCCAACTATGAAGGTAACTGGCAGCTGTACCTATTAAACACATGGTAGATGTTTCTGCAAAGCTTAGAAAGTACACTGGGAAAATCAGTTATCTGAAGGTATATTTTCTGTGGCTTAACATGATTTTTTATATACATTTATATATTAACTCCAGGTATAGCAAGTCCTTAGCTTGTTTTTCCTGATTTATGTGTGTAATTGACAACTGGTAAACAGCTCATTAGGAACATAAAAAAGCATTTAACTAAAACAAACTCAGTGATACTGAAGAGGCAGGGCAGATGATATTTTTTTTCAATACTTTCTTTATTATTAATGGAAGTTGAGCATGTAAAACCCTTAGCGCACTGTACTGAAAAATATACCCTTTCTGTTTGCTTGTAAATTACATGAAGGGGAGGGGACAATCCAATGAAAACTGCCCTCATAAGCCAGCAAGCATTCGTTTCTCCTTAATTAACGATCCTAAGTCAGCAATGCATGAAAAATGTAGCCCTTTTGTGGATCATAGATTAACCTATAAGCAAATGTTACATTCCAGCCCAAATTTTGAGCTCTAAATTTAGCCTTGCCCAGAATGTTTTATGGGGATAAAATAACAGAGGTCTCCTAACCAGAAACTCCATAGTGCTGCCATTCTGTTTCTAAGTATGAACTATTAGGTAGCTGGTCATTTGTTATCAGTGTTCAGTGTCGTAGTCTTCTCCCATTAATTTTTGTTGCATCTTTTTAAAAATGGACTTCACCAAGTGGCAGTTTGGTAAGGGGGACCAGGTGGGGGGTATAGCACCAAAAATAGTAGACCCACATATATCATCTTGTGGTTGTATTTAGCCTAAGATGTGGTCTAAAAGCTGGTGCTCTGGAGTTCTGGCTTCAGCCCAGAAGCCAGTGCTAGTTCAGGGTCATCCCATTTGTCCTTTGTGAGTATTTCTGCCTTTCTTTAATGACTACCTTCCAAATTCGGTTATCAGTATCCAGAAACAACCTTGCTATTTTGCTCTTGAACATTTCCTTTGCCAACAAGTGCAAGACTAGAACTTTGTTACTCGGAAGGGTCAGCTGGAGCTTTTGGGCTTGCCAACTTGATGTTCTCTGGCAAGAGACGTAGCTTCTCAGAAAGTACTGCCAATTTAATGTGCACTGCACATTAGTGGTTGTATGAGGGGGCTCTTGAATGCCACATGCTTTTCAGAGACAGGAAAGAACAGTGACAGGAACAAGACTATAAAAATGCATCCAGAAGTAGCCATGGCTAGAGAGGACCTCGATGTGTGCTTCTAGAGCTGTGTACAGGGTGAAATTGGTCGAGCCCAGCCATATTTCCATCCTCTCCCTTATCCCATAGGATGAATGTTAATGAGTTCACCACTGCTTATAAAAGGCAAGGGGCTGTTGTTTAGGTGGTGTGATCGCCTGAAAAATAAAACTATGGTAATTGTTTCGACCTTTCAGCCAACTGCTGTCTTGCCCTCTCACACTTATTACTCTTGGGTACATTTCGAAAAATATACATTTAAAGAACCACAGAATTAAATGAGAAAACTGATTTAGGGATTAGTAGCTTGTTAGTTCGGCATAGAAAAAAGTAATTTCATTCAGGTTTTATTTATAATGTAGTTGTATATCTATCCATTTTAATTCTTATTCTTACACTTCTCTCCCCATTTTCTACACCACCCCTCATTCATTTCTCATACCTATACCCTTACTCACAAGCTCAGGCTTTTTTATTTGTTTTGGTTTTGTTTTATTTATTTATTTTTTAATGACATTGGGGATTGAACCCAAGAGACTTTACTGCTGAACAACATCCATAGCCTTTTAAATTTTTACTTTGAGACAAGTGTTTTGTAGAGTTGCTGAGGCTGGCCTCAAACTTGACATCCCTCCATCTCGGCCTCAGAGTTGTTGGGATTACAGATGTGCACCACTGGGCACAGCAGCAAGCACGGTTTTAAGTCGCTTATGGAAATTAAGAGTTACTTACATAACATCCCAAATAGTTGCCGTAGTGACAATTGTGGGTTGCCATTAGGAAATGTAATTTTGAATTAGAAGTCTGCCCCAATATACATTCCATGGGGCTCTCTCCTTAGGTTATCTCCATGACCTTGGACTAGCAACTTCATTCTGTGGGTACCAGAATTCTCACCTCTAAAACTGGACTTATGCCATTACCATTGATGGTTCCTATGATAATAGGCTCTGAGTAAATGTCAGTTTCCTTTCTTCTTCTAGGTTTATGCTGAGATGTCAGCATTTTACTGGGGGCCGCCGAAACCTCCCAGTTCTTTTCTTCCTAAGCCTTTTGAGTGGAATTCAGAATTTCCGCCTTTCCCATTTGAAAACAAGAGCATAGAAGAGGCAAACTTATTAATATGCAGTGTCACAACATATTGTCACATAGTAATATATGATATATGATAAAATGTATCAATTCTGAGCACCACAAATATCTGTGGCTTCACCTCAGCATGAAGGCAAATGAGTTTCCTTTAGCTTGAGTGAGTTTAGAGATAAACTTCAATGTAACAAAATGTATTTCACAGGAAATGTTTGATGTGGCGCAGTTGGCTTATGAATCTCTTATCTATTCGCGGTTCACTCCTTAGAGTTATTAGTCAATTTAATTTGAGCAAATGCCAGGATTACTAACTAATTAGAAGGATGTTACTGAAGGCATACGGGTGGGGAGAGAATAAGTGCTGGTAGTGTCGGGTTTGTGGCAGCATGCAAGTCTGATTTTTTTTTTTTTTTTTTTTTGCTGGATGATATCATTTGCTAAACATTATACTTTGTGTTGTTGTCACACAGATAAGCCTCAAGTGCATATTCAGATGACTTATCCTCTACAAGGCCTAACCCGGGAAGGGGACGCGCTTGAGTTAACATGTGAAGCCATCGGGAAGCCCCAGTAAGTTCTGAAGGTCAAGGTTGGCAGAGGGTCATGAGCAGTAAATGTCACAACACAAAGATGTGCATTCACAACTCGTTGGCCTGTCACCTGTCTCCTGCTGTAAAGGATGGAAGTTTTTTTTTAGAAACTAACGAATATTCGATGAGGTGGGAATAAATATCTTGGTTCTTAACAGTCAGGATTGGGAGAAAAATTAAACGCCAGCTAAAATTGAAATCTCAGCTAATTCTGTTTTATTATCATCAACATGATTGTCAGGACTATTTTCTCTCTTACATACACACAAAATAATCCTAATAAATTTTTAGTGTGCCCACAATCTAATGATATATCTAGTACTTACTATATTAATATGTACGCTGCTGGAAAGATGGTTTTCAGACTCAAATTCAGTGCTGTGTTTAGGGCCAACTATAGGCAAACAAATTTGACCTGCCTTTAATATTGCATCTTCTTCCCTCAGAGAAAAGTATCATTTTTAACTCTGAAAAATATTTTTCTTAGTAAGGAAGGGTTCAGGAACTTTCCTGAAGGAGAACTGACCAAGACTCATTTTATTGAAAAGTATAAAGGAGCTACTTTACTTACTCCTGTGAATGATCTAAAGTAAATTAGAGAAACTACATAAACCACTAACATAGCAAAAAAAAAAAAAAGAGAGAGAGAGAGAGATGATACCACTTTAAATATTTTTTCATCTGCTTGAAGAATGGAGAATCTTTCATTTTCCTATTGAAGATTGTTTTTAATTATTTCCTTGTTGGGGGGAATCCCTGGAATCAGGAAGTAGAACAGGTCAATGTTGGAATTAAGGGCACTCAAACTTTTAGTGGTACCCAACAACAAAAAAACATTGAGCTCCCTCTGCTGTCCCTATGGTATGACATTTTTCCCCCTCACAAGGTTTTTCCTAAGCAGGGTTGTCACAGTTTTCATATAAAGAGCTTAGCATACAATACATAACAAAGCTTCCAAAAAAAATCTTTGGAAAGAATTTTCCCCATGATAGCTAACGAATGGCCTATGCCACGATTCCAGAGAGCCAAAGGTGAAGGTGACTGCAGTCAGTTCTTTGTTCTCACTTCAACCCTCTCTATTTTTGTGCTTACCTCTCCATAGACTATAGTACCCTTACCTCTGTCTAACCATTTCGAGTTTTAAAGATGACCTTTGGGAGGTGGAAAATGGTCTTGGTTTTGTTTTGCACTTCCTCTGGTATTCTGAAGTTATTTGATTCTGAACACCTTCAGCTTCCATCTAACCATCTTTTTTTTTCTTTTGAGCACTGTAAAAAGATTTAGACCTTATGTTTTGTAAACTGAATTATGCCGTAATTAGCAGCTTACCTTGCCTCCAGAACAATCCAGTGGAGGGAAAAAATTTTTCAGAGGCCTCTTGCCACTCACAATACCTGTATTCAGCCACATTAACCACATTTACAGTATATGGCTTGCTAACCTATATTTTGTTTCTGTATTTTTTCCTCTGAAGAAGGTACTGTGTTCAATTGAATGTGCCACGGGGACAGTAAATTACATGTTTCCTTCAGGACATTTATGCCAGAGAGGGTATTTGTTTGTTCCTCTCAAATAGGAACGGGTATATGGTTGTGTGAGCAAGCACGCATTACTCTGCTGCTATCCCTTCTAGCATATTACCTATTTATTTTCTCAAGAAATTGCATACAATAAAAATGGTAATTTAACTTGCCATTAAATGTTGTGAATATTCTCGGCACTTACCCCCACTGATTGTTTCAGCTGTCAAGCAGCAGGACATTAGGTCTGATTGCCAGGCAGCCCCATTTGCCATTGCCTACAAGGAGGACATATGCAGTACTAATTTTTAAATAATTTACTGGGTTGTGATGACAAACCCATGTGTAATTAAAGAAAAATTGTAACTTCACATCCCATTTGAAAATTGGAATTCTACTTGACAGGGCTAACTTGAGTATCCGTTCATCATTAAGCATGGGACTCTTTGTCATGTCACTGCTCCTAGAGGTAGCCACAGGAACTGAAAGGAAGTGACTTCTGTTCTCAGGTCTCTTTTATTCTTCCTTTTACATTAAAGTTTGTGGCCAGGGGTATAGCTCAGTGGTAGAGGGCTTGTCTAGCATGTGCAAGGCCCTGGATTCCACTCCACATGTATACACACACACACACACACACACACACACACACACAGAAATATGGATGTTTTCAGGCATACTCTTAGATGTGCCCTTAATTTCATAGGCAGTTGAAGGAGTCATCTTGAACAAAAGTTTCAAATTCAGTGAGTTTGAGTGAATTCATTTTTGGCTCTGGAACATCTTGTGAAATTTGCTTTTTCCTAATGGATACAAATGTGGTACTTGAAGTCACTGAAACAGACTTGTCTTTGATGAGCAAGTTCTCTTGTACCTGAGGAATGCATGTGGAGATGTGCTCCTCGGTGATTAACCTGAGAGCCCTATCTTCAGCCTGGAGGACTGCAGGTGCATGCATGAGAAAAAGTCTAGCAATAAGTGAGCCTATGAGAGCTGGGAAAGAAAGGCAGTTGCTGGCCAAGGAGCATATAGACAAGGTGGACCAGGGCTTCAGAGTGGCATCTTGGGAGGGGAAGGACAGGTTATGGGGAGAGGAAGTGATTGCATCTTTCCTGAATCAGAAGTGGTTTCTCAAAAAACAGGCCAGAAGAAAGTGCTGTTCAGATGTAAAAGTCTATTTCTCAAAATTCACTTAAATATCACAAGGAGTTTCTGAGCAAGCAAGCATCTTAGTAACTATCATATTAATGCATATATCAGTAGCCGTGGACTTGATTTTTTTCCCCTAATTAATGAGATGATTAACAATGGGTGGGCTCTGTCCTGCTTCACTTGGTGTGAAACTACTCAGCAGGGTACAAACATAGGGCACACTGGTTTATTTACTGATGTGTTGAAGATGAATTGGGAATAATGAGACTCCTACTTGTGTCTGTTGAAAAACTTTCAACACCTGATCATGTTTTTAAAAGAAGGAAAATTTATATTTCATACAGATTTTTGGAGAATTCATGGTTGTAGTTCTGTGAACTTAAAACATCTCCAGTAGGTTCTCTTTAATTGTGTTGCCCTGCATGTGATTCTTTAATGTGTGGATGATAAGTTTGATGCAGGTATCTTAATAGGAAATAATAACATGGCTTGTCTTTCTTCCCTTTTCTCTGCAGGCCTGTGATGGTAAATTGGGTGAGAGTCGATGATGAAATGCCTCAACACGCCGTCCTGTCTGGGCCCAACCTGTTCATCAATAACCTAAACAAAACAGATAATGGTACATACCGCTGTGAAGCTTCAAACATAGTGGGGAAAGCTCATTCGGATTATATGCTGTATGTATACGGTACGTGAGAAGATAAAACGCTCTTCTACTAGACTCATACACATGTAGCTGCTACTTAGGATTTACTCCCAACATGTTTGGTCAAGTTGAAAACCAAAAACCACTTGGTTTCCTTCAAGAACTTAAAGAAGGCTGGCCTGAGGTGGACCCCAGTGTCTCCACCTGGGTCAGCAGTGACTTTTCTTCTCTTCCTCTGATCTTGGGGATTTCCCTGTAGATCACAGTCTCTGGTCATGCTGAGTAGGGAAGCTGTGTCCTCAGGCACAAGCCATAGAGATTATGTTAGAAGTAATGACTGAAAAATTCAACCTTACCAATTAGTGGCTTTCAGCTCAGAAAGTTTATTCCCACTGGTGTTTTCATGTGATGCCTGGGCTAGCCTTTCTCCTGCTTTGATGAGCAGAACTATCCTATTTTCAGCATAAACCTATTAAATTCCAGAAGATGTTGCAAGCCAGTAAATACATGGAATGAATACAAGGTTCTTGTTAGCATATAGACCACCTATAGCTATTGCTTTGGATACAAGAGCCTTTTTAAAAAATGTCTGTTTTCTTAACCAATATCTTTTTTACAGAGTTATTAAAGCATATTATCATGAATTTCATCCTCTAATCAACAAATATTTACTGATAACCAACTATGTGCCAGGCATTTCTCATTTATATCGTATTGTTCATTTTGTATATGGCAGATATTCTCTATTTAGTTGAGTGCACTCCCTCCCATTGTGTCTCTTCTTTCCAGTTGAAGTCTTTAGTTTTACACTAAGAAAAATAGTCATGAACTGACCAGACACAGAATGAGTAACCAGAGGCATCAAAATTTCAGTGTCATAAATATTTTAATATGGGAGGTGTATTTCTTTCTTCACATTAGCAGTATAAATAATCCCAAGTATATGTGAATATTTGCATAGACACACATAAATTATACATTTGGAATATTTACACCCTTGTGTCTTAGAACCTTAGCACGTTTTCTCTGAAGAAAATAGTAGTGCCAGTCTTCTTAATTAAATAGAAGCATGCTTTACACCATATCTACCTAGATATTAAGACATAATCCTCAGTTTGTACCTGAGTTTTTTTTTCCTCTTGCATAATGCAAGATTAAAAGATCATGTCTAGTCACCTTATTTGTAGACTTTTGCAGATGGTTTCTTTGCACACCATCCCATGTCATTAGTGGCCATATATGGTAGCATTAATTCTCCCTAGTAGTTAAGGAGACCCATGTGAAGGAAACGGCTCTTCTTTTAGATGAAAAGTGAGTACACCATGCCCCCTTTGGAGCTGGTGATGTGCAGAGCCACCTCCATTCCTCATATTGTTCAGCAGGGGTGGAAGATAAAATCCTCTCTTTGCTTTTGCATGTAACCCCCTCAACCTGGAGTCTGAGCCCCGTGGGAGTCTCCTACGTTGCGGCTGCCCAAGTTTACAGAGACTCTCAGTCCAGCTCTTTTCATAAACTTCAGATTTTAAAAAGCAGTGACAACTTGCCCCCTATCTGTTATATGCTTCTGTGTTTCAGAAGACTAAGTTATCTGGAAAAATGGTTTTAATTTATTGTACCTACTATTCCTATATCTCAAGAAAAGAAACATTTTGAGAGTATGAAAAATGATATATTTGAATAATTTTGGATAGTACCTTATAATTAACATGTGTTAGGTGCTCACTTTGTTCTGTGCCCTCTAGTGACAATTTTACATACATGATCTCATCAGTTCTCCCCAATAACACCAGGAGGAAAGCATTATTGTTATCCCATTTTACAGATGATAAAATGAGGCTTAGAAAGATAATATAATTTTGCCAGAGTCCACAAGGTTACAAGAAATATTTTAGAGATACAATATTATGATTTCAGTGTCTTTCTTCTTTCCAAGAGAGCAGTTTTCTCCAATATAAGGCGGTCCTTTTGGAATTAACCCTCTGGACCACAGTGCATTATTTGAACACCAAGAAATACAGGAATCCACCTGTTTAGATAAACACATCTGCATACCTGTATCTCCCTAACATAAGATGGTCCACATGTCCTGGTTTAGGGATTTTGATAGTTCTGCAGTAGACAGTCTAAAATACCAACCTAAGGGATTGATAGTCCATTAATACTTCATCTTAGCAATTTGGGAAGATAGTGGGTAGATTTTCTTCCTACTCACTAATTTATTATACTACTCCAGCAATTTTTGAAGTGTTTATAAACTGAAAGTTAAAATGCCTCTAAAATGTTTAATCTTCTGAAAGTCACTTCTGTACCTGAAGAACTGAATTGGTTAGTGTCTGAGACCCAACTTATTTTGTTCTTTTGGTCATTTCTTACATAATGACCTCTCATTGCTCTTATTTCTAGAAATGATCTAAGCATGGAGGTTTTACCTGTTCGTGGAATCTAATTCATTCAAGTTACTTGAGCCAGATGTGGAGGACGGCAGTTGCCCTAGTAGTGATGAAGATAATCAAAAGCATCCGACTTCACAAAATGAGAGGGATTGGTGACCTTTCTCTGAAGTCTGTGCCTTGTTAGTCTTGTCCACCTCTTGGTTCCTAATCATGTTTTTAAATCACATTCAAATCTATTTTTATTGTATTATACACATCACACACTTTGTGCCAATATTTTTATAACAAGGTATTGTAGTATGGCATTATAGTATGTCAGGGACATCTTCCAGGTACACACATTCCTTTTCAGTAATAATATTGTATAAAATTGATAATATTTGTGTGTAAAGCCACACAAAAACCATAGTAGCTGTCCTCATGATGGGCAGGAGACACCTCTATGGACATAGTTTAGTTGTCTAGCAGAAAGAGCAGGATGGCTGCAGTGCTGGTCTCAGGGGTCAGTGTGCTCTCTCTATCCATCCCTCTCTGCACTGGCCCTTGCATCAGGTATGGGAGCATCAAACAGAGTAGCCATGTTGCAAAATGCTTCCCTTCGTGTAGCCACCATGAAAAGTGCATGAGCAAGATTGAACATCCTGCCTGAATTACAGTATTTCACCATCCTGTTCTATTTTGAAAAGTAGTTTAAAATCACTAATTTAATTCATCCCTACTTCTTGAAGGAGAATGAGGTTTTTTTAATGAAATCCTTTTGGACTCGTGAGGTTGCATTAAACAATAGTTTAATATGCTTGTATCCCCGACTTCAAGGAGCAAAGTCTTCCATAAAACAGAACCATTTGCTCTTGATTCTTCTTATCAAATTCCTACAAGTATATTTGTGTGACAGAAGCAGTTTGTGAGGAAAATTAAAACTTCGGATTATTGATCAATGATAGAAATCATTTTATGTAGACCTTGCAACTCAGCACCAAAATAGTGGTTTCATAAACTTTCAGGAAGTTGTGCCAAACCCAGGAAAGGTGCAATATATAATTAAAGTTTTGATGTATTAATTAGACAATCCGAGAGCTCACTTGAAGATAAAAGGACACCAGATGTGTCAGGGAGAAAGAGTTGACGTGCTTTAGATAAAATTTAAAATCAAAAGCCTTCACATCGTCTTATGCTCTATTATAGCAGAATGATTGCTTAGTTCAAAGTCTTGCTGACAATTTAACACATTCAGTTTGATCATTTAGGCTTAGAATTTTTTTCTCTTTCATATTTGCCCTTCCCTTATCCCCAAATAATTTTTGAGATGATAGAAAGATATACACTATATCAAATATCAGACAGGATTCCCTATCGGGTTCCTGGCTTTGAGGGTCAAACCTCATTTATATTTAGCTCTCTTGTTTATGAGATAGAGAATGTTCTTTCAGTTTTATCATTGTTGTCCACTTAGGTCAAGCTTTTAACATGAGCAAAGGCAACTTATTAATATTTATAAGTTGTAAAATTTATTGACTTTTAAAAAATAAAATCTCAGTAAAATCTCACATGCCTGGAACTTGATATTTAGTGGTGACATTCTCTCTTCTTTGTATTTATTACAAGTATAGAAGTAGTTTTACTTCCTGCTGGGAAGTATTGATGGAGAATAATGAAGTTAGCTGTCGTAGAGAGCAAGTGTGCAGGGCATACTCATCCTTGGCTGATAGGAGCCCTTTAAATAGAACATCACCTTCTCCTCTTCCCTCCCATCTGTGGAAGCATGAGTGAAATGACAGCAATTGTCCCCTCTCAGCGCTGAGTCAATTCAGCCTCACCTTAAGATCTGGTGTGGAGTCACATGTTTAGATTTTTCCTCACTTCTCCATTTCATGTCTCCTCATCCCTAATTAACTTCATTAATAAGAAATCTCTTTTCTTCTCTTCTCAGCTCTTCCAGCTAAGCTTTGGGATATAATTATAAGACCTAAATCTTTGGGGGAAAGAACTTTGGGTTTTAAAAAGGGAAGTCATCAAACAAACATCTCAATGTCTTCATGCCTTTGTTTTGTCATTACTGTCGTTGTTGTGTTCAGCATTGTGGGTTTGATTTTCCTTTTTTTTTTTATCCAGATCCCCCCACAACTATCCCTCCTCCCACAACAACCACCACTACCACCACCACCACCACCACCACCACCACCACCATCCTTACCATCATCACAGGTATGGTACCTTCATTACCATTGAAAATGTCCTGAATGTATATTGTCTTTCTGGTATGCATAAAAAGAAACCTAAAAGTTCCCTGTAAGTCCTTGGAATTTAACTGTTCCTTTATCTTGGAACTTCGGAAGACATTACATACATACTATATTCTTAAATTGAATCATAAGGACCTTGGAAAACCTCTAACATCCAAGCATTTTATAGTAGATCAGATATTTTGCAATTTATGCATAAGGGAATTCTTTTTTAAGCATCACTACTCAAAGCAAAACTCTAGGAAAATGGCAGCCCTGGCTTCTAAAGAACATGCTGATAGCTTCATTTAGCCACTATTGATGAAATGGTAAGTATTGTGGCTGTGGATTGTGTTCTTGTCTTAATTTCATCTTAATCCACACGAAGAAAATACACACACCTCACTCTAGCAGGCCTCTTTGGACCAAGCTACTAAATGCTCAGTTACCCTCCTGTTCTACACAGCACCTGCTGGCAGTGCTGCTGCCTACTCAGGTTGCCTGGGTAGTCAGAGATCAGAGGGAGTCCCTGTCTTTTCCATGCCTAGAGCTCACATGCCCCTCCCTGCCCTCAGTTACATGTGGAGGGACCGAGAGGCAGCCGCAGTGTTCTCACTGTGTGGCTTTATCTCTTTGGACTCCCTGAAAACTCTCACTCAAAATGAGTTTCACTGCCTCTCATTTCTAACTGTCACAGAGGGAGGTGATGTGACCTCCCTCCCCTTCCTGCTCTCCAGGGGCTCTCATATTGCTTGGTCCTGCTTTTCTGGAACCAATGGAGTGTCTTCTGCCTACCAAGGTAGGTAAGCTGATGGCTGCAACTCGACACGCAGATTTCCTTAGATACAACCTTCCCCACTGTAAACAGGTACCCACCACAGAAACGTGTCAAAGTAATTATTCCATGAGAGGGAAAACAAAATCTCTTGATGAATGAACTTCTCCACTTCAATCCATTATCTGCAGAGACTGCAGGTCTCTGAGTCATGTGCCCTGGTGTCCCTTCCTGTCACTGGACTTCTTTATACACACTGAATGTCTCACTCATCACTCTTCATGTTCAGCTCCTCTTAGCACCCAAGATATGGCAGGTATCCTAAAGGATTGTCTCAAGGGTTACAGTGACTTTCTGGAGACTATTTACATTTTCACAGGAGCTGGTGAGATAGTTGACAAAATGCAAAGTGCTCAGTGAAAGAGGAGGCCTCATCGGTTGGTGACATATAACAATAGATGCCCTGATCTCAGTTTCTTCACCTATTACAGTAGAACAAAGAGAACCCTTAAATAAGCCACTGTTGAAGATTTTTCTAAATATTGGTTATAAAACATTTAGTGCCTGCATTTAATTTAAAATCTTCTGAAAATCCATCAATTGGTTTTTGTGTCACTCTCAATGGGGCTCCATCTAGAGAATTCGCTTCCTAATTCTTGTTCATGTGTGTTCCTGCTTTAGCTGTTAGCTCCTTCTGCTTCTTAAGTGAACTTGGTTTGTTGTGTGGCCAATCAATTTCCCACATTTTCTATGTCATTCATAAGCATATCAAAGATACTTCTTCCTAACGAGGACTTCCAGAGCAACCATGCTGTCAACTTTTCATATTAAGAACTAGATCTTTTTTGTTTGTTTTCTCCATGGTACTGGGAATGGAACCCAGGGCCTCACATATGCTAGGCAAGCATCCTATCACTGAACTGCAGCCCCAGTATGTTTATATCCTGGTAGTATTTCTTGTCTCTAATTAGTAAGCTTAATTGGTCTTGTGTTCTCCTTACTTTGAAGTTTCCAGTGAAAGACCCTTTGGTTGTCAACGTAAATGACATCACCTAATTCTCCATTGTCCTGCTTATGTCAGCCCTGAAAAAACAGCCTCTCAGTGATCTGTATTGTCTTTGCAGAAGCTGGCCAGGTATGAGCCAGCTCTTGCTACTTCTCATGGCAAAAGTTTCCACAGAGTATCCAGGTTTACATTTTGAGGCAGTTAAGGCTTTAATCACACTGTGTATCAGACTCTTTCTGTTTCTGGCTGGCCTTTTCACTAGCTTAGGCTTTTTTTTAAATGACTGATTACATTCCCTGAACCCCTCCCCCTGCCACAGTCAATCTCAGCAAATCGACAGCATCACTTCAGTTCACAGCTCTTCATCCTTCACTCCAGACCAAAGCGAATCTGGAGTCCTCAGGCATCTACAACTCACTTTTACCACCATTGTGGCTGCAGAGACTCCATTTAAGAGGAAATTTGGAAAATAAACAATGCTATATTTCTGTTTGCATCAAAGGTATCTTTAATAGGAACCGTCCTAGCTTCTGTCCCTCTATGGCTGGCCTCCCAGCGTAAGGTAATGTAAGATGATCTCATAGATGCATTTTAGCTTCTCCATGGCAGTGTTTGGATTCTCTCTGCACACCAAATGCATCTGTGGTAATGAATGCTCACATTCTCACTGGCACGCCCAAGAATAGTTAAGCTAAAATTGCTACTAAAACAACATCGTGGAACCCGTTGCTTTAACGAATGTGATCTTACAGGCTTACTATGTCTTAACAAGCACTCTTATATATATTTATCTTACCCAGAAAGTATACTTGTAGAGTTTAACATTTACTCCTTTCTCCAAACAGATTAAAGGTTATGGAGCTGAATGATTCTGTGTCCCAATTTAAAAGTCCGGGCTATCCCCTAGATTTAGATTGGTTCCTAAAAAATCTTCCAGACTGAATCCCAACAAATGGATAGCTAAATTAATTTCCACTCCTCTTCTTTCTTGTACTGTTTGGTTACAGTCACTATTAGCCTTAAAAGCTTCAACAGCCAAACTGTTTGGTTACAGTCACTATTAGCCTTAAAAGCTTCAACAGCCAAATCCAGTGACAGTAACATAAAACCAGAGCTTAAAAAGGGGGCAGGGGTGTGGAGCCCATAGTCATCTATTCCTTTCCTCCCAGTCAAATGCAATAACTGAAACCCATTCCCCAGGTCAGAGTTTCATTACCAGAAAAATGTACAAATTCAAAAGAAAAAATATTTTTAAACTTGAAAAAGGTCATAGTTGATTTCTGATTTCTCTGAAAGGAAGTGTTCCAGTGTTATCTTTTATCTCCCATAACCAGGATAATCGAATTGTTCCCCTTGTTAGGGAAGCTGGTCGTTGTCTGTTCCAAGTCACCTGACTCGCTCAAAACATGTTTAAGCTTCATCCTGGAGTCCCTTGAAAGAGAGGAATTATAAGTGTAACAAACGGATAGCTACTCCACTTTGGAGGGATGACTCTACTTTGCCCCCCTCAAAACCATAGCCCTCATGGGTGTGAGGAGTGGGAGCCAGGAGTCCTACTTCCTGTCCACCCTGCATCTTTCATATACAGTATGTTCTGACCATGTGTTTGTTTTCAACTATTGCTTTTGGAAGCTCCCATTCTTTTCTTTTTTAAGCATGTCAGTTTGTCTATGTGGTCTCTTTCATCTCATTCCATGAAGATATATGCTGAGAGAGCAAACTGCATAATTTAAATTGTTTTATTTTGCTTTTAACTTTCTTCATAGTTGTTGACTTTGTGTACTAGATGTTCATAAAATTATCCATTTCTGTGCTTGGTGATAGCTTTAGTGCCAAGCTCCCAGTTGGGTCAAGCTTCTTCCTGTCCTCATCTTATGTTTCCCTCCTTAGTTACTTTGGATATTGTATTATTCCTGCCTGATTGTGTCCTGAGTTAGATGCTTGATGAGTACCATAGAAGACTCAGAACTAAGTCATAAACACCCTTAGCAGTTAAATATAAAATTCAGGCCGGGAGAATTTCAACCTGTAGGTCACACTCTACATGTGACTGCCATAAATTAAAAAATTAAAACCACCTTAGAATAAGAAATGAATAGCTATAGGGCCAAATTCTGAAACACATTAAAAAATCCTTTCATAAGAATGAAGTAGGTCATTTCTAAATGAGTTTTTTAAAGTACGTATTCAATTAAATATTTTGTGTTTCTTAGAAAAGAAAACAGCATGTTTTTTTCTATTGGTGTCAAAGCACTAAAAATCCAATATACCTTGGAGGAAATGATTCCTACCCCCGGCTCCATATTATTATTTTGGCTTTCACAGCCTGCTATCATAAACATTTTTCATGTTTAAGTGGATTCAATCATATAACTAAAGAAGGTGGGTACTGCCGTTCTCCTTCAGTGGTATTTGTGGAATATGCCCAAATGGGTAAACTCCATACCAGAGCACATGGTCACAGTGTCTTAGGTACAAAGGACAAAAATACACCTGTGCTTGACAAGTTGTGGCTCTACCATCCAAATTAGAATAGAGAGCTTTGCTTCACCTAGAGCTTTCTGTTCCCCAGAGTGCTAGCTTAATGATTCCTATTACTGAGCTACTGATATTTGTATGATACAAGGAGTATAAGCTAGTCTACTTTTTATGCATGCATTCAACAAATATGCACAGACAAAAGATTCCTTGAACCCCTTGCTATGTGGTTGAGAGAAAATATTAAACATATTTGGAACTCAACAGAACCCTGTATAGTCGAGATGATTCAGTGGCACAGGCAGCAGGCACATAGAAGATTGGGGAAAGCATCACAGGAGAAATGGACTTTGTGCCATCAAAGAATGGGCAGAACATGGGTAAGAGAAGGTAGCAAACGTCACTTCAAGCATCTATCTTCAGTGTGTGTGTGTGTATTTTGCATTTATTGATGTGCCAGGCATAGATTAAGCCTTCGTTGCTAGGAAATATTCATCTTTCATCCTAGAATGTTTACAAATTGCCTTTTTTCTGGAGCTGAGATCTACTCATCATGAATTGAATACTTACCGAGTGTTACTGGTATGCCAGGCAGCCAACGGGTGAGAATGCTGTAGGGCACGACCTTTTTTACCTGGTGAATCTCCTTTTCAGATTCTTACACCAAAAGTGCATGTCCGTTTTTTTTTCTCATGCTGTCCTATCCATATTTTTATTTAGCTGA